TAAGTTGGATGGAAGTGAAAGTAAGAACATTCATTGAATCCACTCAGTATGGAGCTATTCGTATCAGATACTACAATGTTCGAGACTGAGATTTTGAAAAGTTAAGTGACTATTCGTCGGTGGCACAGTGTTAGGACTTTCGCCGACCATGCACATGGTTCGGGCTTCGATCCCCTACCGACGTATACTCGATATCAATGGTCGGCCTGCGAAATTTGGGCTACCTATATCACATTCTGAAAATTCCATACCTGTACCAGAAAATACGGTGTGGATTCAAGCTGTAATCAAAATTTAAAAAAAATTTTTTTTATATTCCTATCGATGTTTCTTCGAGACAATATCTTCAGCGTAGACTAAAATATGAGGTGAGCTTTTAGAAGTCTCCATGAGTTAATCAGTCATCTCCCCGTGAAAACGTTGGACGCGGTTGGTTGTTTCTCGGCTTAAGGGTAGGAAAATCTCCACAAATAATTTTTTTATTATTTTTGATTACAGCTTGATTCCACACTGTATTTTTGGTACAAGTATGTAATCAATCACATTCCGGGTGACCAGGGTAAAGATGACTGGTAAACCCGTGAAGAATCCTAAAAGCTTATTTCATATTCCAGAGTGCGCTGAAGATGCTATCTAGGAAGACTATGAGAGATTAACGACTAAACCACCAGCTCAGACAACACAACTAGACCGATACAATCCACCAGAGCTGTAAATTTCATCCATCATATCTATATTGAGGTTAGGCGTCGAGTTCTAGGTAAGCAGGGGAAATCAATCGACGAGGCTGTGAAGCTACATCGACTGAGATAGATAGAACATATATTACGTATGCCTAGCCATCGCCTTCCTCGACCGACGGGCAATGTTAGCTGACATAGGGTCAGGCTGGAAAAAAGCTAGCGGTGGTTAGACAAAAATGTGGCACCAGTCAATGAAATCCACAACAGTTAGTTTAAGTCAGTCACATAGGAAGGTGTAGACCGCTGTCTGGTTGGGGTCCTCACGACGGTAAAAACCAACGGTTGGAAACAATTGGTGACATGGCTCAAAATCGTTCTCAATGATGGCGCAGATGCATCCATTCCTTGTAACTTATGATTTCCAATGAAACTGTTTTGTTCTTCGTTATTACTCTTCCTTTGTCTCACACCTCTGTTTACTGTCCCTAGTATGCATTTTTTCTACTTTCTTCTCTTGATTTGTGTGCTACATGGAGGGAGTGTGGCGACTTGAACTACCGCACATACGTGAAAAGTTCTATGTCGAAAACAGACAGAGAGACAGATATCACACAAGATTGTAAAGCTCAGACTGTTGCGTCATTAGTCACTTACATCGTCTTGAACTGAAAAATGTATATTTGAACGATATAACACTACCCATCTGGTAGTTACTCAGCTGTCATGCACGCGAAACTTCAACTTAAAACCTCAGCATGCAGTCTCCTAAGACTGTCTGTCTGTCTGGATTCAACATAGAACTTCTTGGCACCGAAGTGCACCAGTTCGAGTTGACACGTTCCAAATACCACACAAAGGTAGACAAGAAGATGAGTGAAGAGAATTAATAGAGTTTCACAAGTATAAGAGTGAAACAGAATGGGTAATGGTAGAAAGGAATATGAAAGATTACAGAGACTGAATACATCTGCGCTGGCCATTGAAAACGATTTTGAGCCATGTCACCTATTGTCTCCAGCCATTGATTCCTAGAGTCAGTCCCAAGGGCCCCAACCCGGAAGTCTTCATCTCCCTCCCTACCTGACTCAGTTTAACTGTCAAGGATTTCATGGATTGATGAGGCCATGTTTTTGTTTGGCCACCACTTATTCTTTTCCAACCTGCACCTATATCAGCTAGTAATGCCCGTCGTCGGGCGAGGCGATGGTTAGACATGCGCACCACGTCACCTAGCTATCTGCTATCTATGTAACTTTATAGCCTCGTCGATTGATTTTCCCTCTTTGCCCAACACTCTACGCCTAACGTCAACATTACTTATCTTGTGAAACCACCTAACGTGAACAGAGATCGCAGACATCTATGATCGAAAGCAGTCAACCTTTTCATGTCTTCAACGCGTATTGGCCATGTTTCAGAGCCATAGAGAAGGACGGAGCGAACTGCTGAGCAGTACACACGTCACTTGGTTGATAACCGGATGTCACGCCTACGCCAGAGATGGTGTAAGTCAGCGAAAGCAGCTCGAGCTTTTCGGATCCGTGCTGAGATTTCATCGCCAATCAGTCCGTTGGTGCTAATACAACTTCCCAAGTAGGTGAAGTGGTCAACATGTTCTATCACTTCACTCCCTATCACTAAGTTAGGGGTTGACGTCGTCCAGTCCTGTAGCAGCATCTTACATTTTGCAGGGGCGAATCGCATGCCAAACATACGAAGATTGTTGCTCAAGGTGTTCAGAAGACTCTGCATTTTTTCAGCATCCTCCCCTAACAGGACTATGTCATCTGCATATTCTAAATCCATAAGATTATTCCCTGGTAACAAGTCGATTCCTAAGTCACTACGTTCAGTTAAGGATACTTCCATTAGCATATCTATGATGAAGTTAAACAGAATGGGGAAGTCTCCTAAGACAGCCCACTAGATGCTTAAATCTGAATGTGGGATCAGTTTATTAGTCCTTAGAGAAACATAAACAAAGCCAGTAAACTATTTAATGTAAGGAAAATCAATTACCAAGTGTATATTACTAGAACGATTCCGCTATATCTTGGGTAAGCCTTACAACAGCTGTGAACAATTATTTACTCTTTAGTTTAAGGTTTATCAAGAGAACTATTTAGTTTAAATGCAAGTATCACGACGAAATGAATACTAAATAGTTACTGCGGAGAGCAGTACGGATTCATTTACACCCACACTCATTTAAATCTAGAATAAATTGTATTCAGAACTTTCAAATTTAGCAGTAGCACTATTCTATATCAGAATGTAAAAGTTCTTTGCCTCCTGAGTGGGAATTTCGATCTAACAGCGACGCATCCCCCACTGCACTCTCTGTCACTTTCGCACTGTCAACTAGCTCAAGAATTTACATTCATTCCACTTGATGATGACAAGAATCTGAAATCTATGAAGACTTCCGAACAAGTCCAATCCGTTCCAAAGAAAATACGTCTACTTAATCTAGTATTCAGAGGTGATATTGAAGCAGAAATCCTTCGTAAACGCCTCTCCGAATCGCTGAGGAAAACATACTTCGCCTCGAGGCTACGACTGATGTTTTCCTGCAAGAAACTGTTCAGTCATAACGTGAAAGACAAGCTGTCGCATTGGGCCACCTCAACGTGCATATACCAGTTTACTTGCTCTTGTGGAGCTGAGTACATTGGCCGTACCATGAGCCGACTTGAAAAACGCACTGGTGAACACTACTCAACCTGGTTAGTAAAAGGAGACAAAAAGTGTGTATACAATTCAGTGACAGAACATCGGGTCAATTCAGGACATTCAGCACCTTTCGAAAAATCCTTCAAAGTAGTATACAAGATTCAATCAAACCTATCAAAGGGAGTGAAATTAGGGCTTCTGGGCATTACCAAGGCGCTAGACATCCAAAAGCTCAAACCCACGCTTTGTATACAAAAGAAATACGTCCAACCCTTGTCCCTGCCATGGCCATCATAAACGGGTAATTTTTTAGTAACGGCCATCCCACTGTCTTTCTTATCTAAACTTCCTGTTTATTCATGTTATTTTAAGTTTTTCTTAATCCCTGTTTACACTACCATATTTTCATATCCGAACTTCGTGTTTATTTTGTCACTTTACTATTTCTACATATTTAATCCCTGATTGCATAAACAATTATTCATCACATTAGTTTCTTATCCAAACATCCTGTCTATTTTGTTATTTCTACATTTCTAACCCCTAATTGTAAACAAGTGAAAAGTAACAAGTTGGCAGAAGAAGCATCAAAGATAGGACTTCACGTGAACATAGATAAAACAGAGATGATGAAGATTCCTAGCCAACATCAACAGCAACAACAACAACAGACAACAACCAGCCAGCATAAGTGGGAGGAACCTGAAAGAAACAACCTCCTTTACCTACCTGGGAAGCATCGTCTCAACTACAGGCGGAACTGACGAGGATATCAAAGCCAGAATCGGAAAAGCAAGACAAGCTTTCATTACTCTCAAATCTGTGTGGAGGTCAACAGCACTCAGCATCAAAAACAAGATCCGGATCTTCAACTCCAATGTAAAGTCACTCAGTGCTACTATACGGATCAGAGACTTGGCGAGTCATAAAGAGCATCTCAAACAAACTTCAAACCTTCATTAACAGTTGTCTCCGCTCAATACTCAAGATCAGATGGCCAGAAAAGATCAGCAACAGGGATCTCTGGGAGCGAACCAATCAGGAACCGATTGTGAAACAAATAGGCAGGAAGAAATGGAAATGGATTGGCCATACGCTGAGGAAACCATCAAGTGACATCACTAGACAAGCCATCGCTCGAGTGGAAGGTGAAAGAGAAGCGGCGAGTTGGTCGTCCAAGGGTGACCTGGAAGAGGTCATGCGAGGAGGAGATGAAAGCATGTGGACATACCTGGAGCAGGGTGAAAAAGTTGTCAGAAAACCGAAAGCAATGGAGGTGCGCAGCTGAAGCCCTATGTTCCTCTAGGAACTAAAGGATACAATAATAAATAATAACCCCTAATTGCACAATGTCAATCTTCTTAGCTATCATGGTGTTACTTTGTTTGTTTTATCCATCCCCCTGTTTATTATGGCATTCTAATTCCTAATTTTTATTTTTATTAATTTGACCCTTAACCGGAAATTATTCTGGAACTTTCGCATCCATTTGATATAAATAAATACATGAATGTACAGCCTAGTTGACGGTGACTTTGTCGAAAAGAAAATTTTCTTCGCTGTACTTGTCTTCTTAGTAACTACTTGATGATTTGTTATGGTTAAACAATGACTAAACAATAACTAAAAAACCTTACAACTTACCCATTCTTAGACTGATATCATAACCAAATAATTTCGGTGAATTTCCACTTTCATAGGCGGAGACAACAGATTCAGTTTGTACAAGTCCAGGTATAATACTGACTACGCTAACATTTGCTTTATGCTGTTTTAAATCACGTGCCATCTCTTGAGTAATACGATCTAAAGCAGATTTGCCTAAGTTTTTTCAAAAAAAGGAAATGCAGAAAAAAAGAACAATCCACAATAATAAAAGTGAATGAACAGACAGCAGCTGTATGTAGTACGCGGCATTACATCACAACAAATTTCATTTAGTGGAAAAGGAAAACATAAAGACAGAGTTGGAGGCAGTCAGTCATCAAGGATGCCTCCAGTGTTTGATTGCATCATAAAAAGGAAAGAAGATACGATGTAAAACAAACACGAATGTTTACAAAAACAACTCACATACCCAAACCGATGTATGGATTTCGTTTTATTCCATTCCATGACAGTGGAGAGTAAAATAGGATTAGTGAAAAATAGCTAAATAGTAGAAGAGAAAATCTGTGGTAGGAAGTAAGACAGATCGAAGGAGCTTGAACAAGGCGGAAAGGATAAACATTTGCACGATGATACACCACCACGTTTTATTTCGGTAGACTCCTTTCAAATACATAAATTCTATTTGAATAAGGTATTTAGAAGACAAATTTCGACAGATGGTATCTTCATTTCTTTACAACTGATATGGTTCACAATAATAAAATAAAATGTATAACAATTACTCAGTTCTATAAAACAAAAGTACATACCAATGACCAATCATATTTCAATAGGTCAAGTAGTCCATAAGAATTGAATAAAGCAAAGACAACAGTGGTGTGTGCAGAATAATATGATACCATCATTTATTTCGTTGGCTTGTCATCAGCTGCTTGCAGCCGAAACTTAATAATTTATTTAGGCTGTAAGCAGATGAGTAGGTGTGACATCCGGTTATCAACCAAGGGACGTGTGTACTGCTCACTGCAGTTCGCTCCGTCCTTATCTATGGCTCTGAAACATGGCCAATACGAGTTGAAGACATGAAAAGGTTGACTGTTTTTGATCATAGATGTCTACGATCTCTTTCTCACGTGAGGTAGTTTAATAAGGTAAGTAATGCTGACGTTAGGCGTAGAGTGTTGGTCAAACAGGGAAAATCAATCGACGAGGCTATAAAGTTACATAGATGGCATAGAGATGGCTAGGTCAGGTGGTGCGCATGCCTAACCATCGCCACCCCCGACGGGCATTACTAGCTGATATAGGTGCAGGTTGGAAAAGAGTAAATGGTGGCCAAACAAAAACATGGCCTCATCAATCCATGAAATCCTTGACAGTCAAACTGAGTCAGGTAGGGAGGGAGATGAAGACTTCCGGGTTGGGGCCCTCGGGACTGACTCTAGGAATCAATGGCTGGAGACAATAGGTGACATGGCTCAAAATCGTTGTCAATGGCCAGCGAAGATGTATGCAGTCTCTGTAATCTTTCTTTCTACCATTACCCATTCTGTTTCACTCTTATACTTGTGGAACTTTATTAATTCTCTTCGCTCATCTTCTTGTTTACCTTGTGTGGTATTTGGAACGTGGCAACTTGAACTGCTGCACTTCGGTTCCAAGTTCTATGTTGAATCCAGACAGACAGAGACAGATAGAGTAAGCAGATGATGAGAAGCCAACGAGATAAATGATGGTACCATATTATTCTGCACAAACCACTACTGTTGTTCTTGCTTTATTCAAATTCATCAAGGGAATGAATGCATGTAGTCCAGAGTAGGCGAAGGTTGAAGTCTATTGTTATTTTTGTACCTACAAATCCACTTGAAATCTAATTATGTCGGTCATAATATACTGTGGAGCCCATTTTAAACCTAGTTTATTTCATAATTTACAATGATAGTGAGGTCAAATACACAGGCTAGACTGTTAGGTCAGAGTCAATTAGTTGTGCAAAGTAAAACAAAAAAAATCAATACCATCCCAAAAAGATAAAAAAAATCTAGGAAACTCAGTTACAGTACATACAGTTACATGATATTATGACAGCTTTAAAATCTAATATATCAGTGTATGTACAGGGAGAAATCGATAACTGAAGGTTATTTATCGAATCAACTGATAATATACATCTTATAAGAATGATTTAACATCTGCCTTGGATATTTAGAAAATTCTGATGCCCTTACAACAAATCGCGTGAACAGAAGTGATGAAGGCTGCTCGTCAACAGCAACAACAACAACAGACAACCATCCAGCATAAATGGGAAGAATCTGAAAGAAGCAACCTCCTTTACCTATCTACTGATCTAGGAAGCATCGTTTCAACTACAGGCGGAACTGGCGAGGATTGAGAAAGCAAGGCAAGCTTTCATTTCTCTCAAGTCTGTGTGAAGGTCAACAGCACTCAGCATCTGCATGAAAATAGGATCCGGATTTTCAACTCCAATGTGAAGTCAGTCAGTGCTACTTACTATACGGACCAGAGACTTGACGCGTCACGAATGGCACTTCAAACAAACTACAGACCTTCATCAACAGTTGTCTTCGCTCAAAACTGCTAAATACCAGATAGCCAGAAAAGACCAGCAATAATGATGGATCTCTGGGAGCGAACCAAACCAGCAGGAACCAGTTTTGTAAAAAATATGCAGGGGGAAATGGAGGTGGATTGGACATACTCTGAAAAAATCAACAATCAAGTGACATCAAACGCCAGACCATCGCTCGATTGTAACCCGAACAAGAAGCGGCGAGTTGGTCGTCAATGCAAGGGTGATATGGAGGAAGTGATGTAAAGAGGAGATGAAAGCATATGGGCAGACGTGGAGCCAGGTGAAAACTCTAACAGAGAACCGAACGCAATGGAGACGTGAGGCTGAATCCCTATGTTCCTCTAGGAACTAAAGGAAACAATAATAAATACAACAAATCGATAAGGGGGGACAAAGAATGAGAATGATAAAAACTGAGTTTCAAAACAGGAGATAGTTACAATCGATGTGATTTTGAAACGTACTCCAGCAAACAATACTGTATCGCTGTGTGTGTGTGTGTGATATGGAATTGTTTCAGGTTAGACTACGGAGTGATATCAGTTAGAGAACCATTGAAAATTGGGGAGTACTAGACAGCTGTTTCATCCTAGTTTGGGAATCATCGGTAGTACGCACCCACCACTGAGGTTCGAAACCCAGGACCTTTCGGGTGACAAGACGAGCTCGGATCCCAGTGACTAAATGATCAACGAGATCACCTTATAACCGGGAGGTCGTGGGTTCGAACTTCGGTCGACGGGTATTTACTGGTGATGAATCCCAAGCACTAGGACGAAACAGCTGTCCAACATTCCTTGATTTTCTAGTGCTTCACTAACCAAAGTCAGCTCATGATGAAATCCAGTAACCAATCAAATCCCTGCACACCAACACTTGAATATCAAAATAATGTACTAAGATAGACTAGAGATAAGATATTAAATAGCAATAGGGTAGATTGTAGAACAAATCGAAGACTTACAAGCGAAAACCGACAAACTGGTCGAAGAAGCAGCCGGAGAAGACAGGACTCCAGCTGAACATAGACAAGACGGAGGTTATGAAAATAACCAACCAACAACAACAATAGCAGCAACATCCAGTGCCAATCACCATCAACGGGAGGGGTTTGAAAGAGGTTACTTCATTCACTTATCTAGGGAGCATTGTCTCAACTACAGGCCAGAGGAACGGACGAGGATGTCAAATCGAGCGAGAATCGGGAAGGCAGGCGAGAAACACATTCATCAACCTGAAACAACTAATCTGGAAATCTTCGTCACTCAGCCAGAATCAACAACAAAATCCAGTCAGATTTTCAATACAAACAACGTCGAGTCAACCAGTCCTTCTATACGGATCAGAAAGTTGGTGGGCTGGTCACAAAGAATATTTCCAACAGCCTGTTGCAGACCTTCATCAACAACTGACTGCCTTCGCTAAAATCTATACCAAAGATCACATGGCCTGGCCGGAAAGAATCACCAACAAGAAACTATGGACACAAACAAACAAAACAAGAGCCAATCGCCAACCAACAAATATGCAGGAGAAAGTGGTGGTGGATGGACACTCGCTCGCTGAGGAGGCCGCTGGGTGACATCGCGCGTCAAGCCCTCGAGTGGAACCAGGCTGAAAGGGAAACGGCGAGTGGTTCGTCAGTGCAAGGGTGACATGGAGGAGATCGTGTGAAGAGGAGTTGAAAGAGTATGAACTAACATGGATGCAGGTGAAAAGTACAGCAGAAGGAAGACAGAAGTGGCAAGTGGAGACGTGCAGTTGAAGCCCTATGTTCCACTAGGAACCCAAGGGAACAATAATAATAATAGATTGTAGAACACTATGCTGTGCAACAACTGAATGGAAGGTCTTCTGTGCATAATTTACACTTGCTTCTAGATGAATATTCCGAAGTTTTTGAAAAGAATGAATCCATGATGAGTACAGTAATAACTAAATTCGTTGCGAAAGCAGATTAACCTATGGATTGTGTTGAACGATGAGCACAGGATACATGACATATCGACAAAAAAAGTTGAAAAACACACAACAGAGAATAATTTGTAGTCTAACTAACTACAGTTAGTCATATTAAATCGTTTAAGTTTATCTATTCTGAAGTTATTTTTCTTTCTGTCTAAGTGATTTGTTTTTATTTTACAATTCAATCTTGCGTACTTTGAACTTTGAAGGTAACACAACATTTCTCTATCAACATTACCAACCTTAGTCTACAGTGTAAATACGTAATTTTATAAGTAGTAGGTATTGAAATGCTAATAGTATTCTTTCTACCATTTATATCAGCTTTAATAACTACAAATATTTTAATTATAAAGTCATAAAATTATGCCAATGTAATACATACATACTTATCACACTATTTGTTAATTTTGTATTTAGAACAACACATTTAAGCGAACAATATTGTTGTTTTAAATTAGATCTCATCAGGCTTAACTCTAATACACCTACATAACTCTACAAATGAAAATTCAAATATAAACCAATCATGGTGTTTTGTCTATAGGATAGTAAGATGGTGAATATAAATTGTGCAATTAGTCATAATGGTAGTAATGATAATAATAATAATAGTAATAACAATAATGGTCTTATCAATAATAAG